GAGGTTTGTGCCTTACCTTTTTATTCTGTGGGCCCACAGTAGTCAAGAAATCACCCGAGACGTCTGCCCGTCTGACCACTAAATCCGGCCTCAACATCCGCCGACATCAAACACCTGAACCTCGTTCTACTGATCTTCAGTTGCTCTGACAGAGCCGATAAGTGTGAGGCGTTCCAGGTCCGTCCATCATCCAGCAAATAAGTGTTTGGTCCTTTCCTTGTCATGACAGTCCTTGGTTTGGAAAACTTTAACTCGCCTTTCTTTACCTTCCACGGCTTCCTAACCCATACCTTGTCACCAGGCTGAAAGTTGGATGGTTTGGCGTGTCTGCGAGCATCAGTGTATTCTTTCATTTTCATTTGCTTATTCTTAACTCTTTCGCACATGGTATGCCTCTCTGTCTGAGGAACAGGCATATCCATTACCTGTAACTTTGTTCTCATTCGTCGTCCATGGAGCAGTTCTGAAGGGGAAACTCCAGTTGTTGAATGAGGGGTTGCTCTGTAGTCCATCAGGTAAGTTCTCAGGAATGATTTCCAGGGTTGTCCTTGAATCGAGGCAGTCTGTAGGCAGTCTTTAACGCATCTATTGAATCTCTCAACTTCCCCATTAGCTCTTGGGTAATACACTGAGGATCTCAGGTGTTGGATTCCCCTGCTTTTCAGGAAGTCAGCGAACTCAGCAGAGAGAAATTGAGAGCCATTGTCACTTATCAGTGTCTTTGGATTCCCTTCACGAGAGAAAACTACCGAAAGGAATTGAATGATAGTAGCCGCATCAGCTCGGGGAGCAAAAGCTACTTCAGGCCACTTACTAAAGTAGTCTACCAATGTGATGGCAAATCTACAGTCAGAAGGGGCTATTTCAAAAGGGCCTATGATGTCCACAGACACCTTTTCCCAAGCAGCAGCTGGTAAAGGAATGGGTTGGAGTGGAGCATCATGGGTGACAGTGGACTTGTCATTCTGTCTGCACGTTGCACAGTTCTTTATCAGTGTCTCTATGTGACAATCCATTTTGGGCCACCAGTACAATTCCCTCAGGCGTTGTTTGGTACGTACAATGCCTTGGTGAGTTTCATGAGCTATATCAGTGAGTTTTTTCTGCAACGACTCAGGCACTAGCAAGCGATGTGTACCTCTGACAATGCACTCGTTCAAGACCGCGAGTTCATGGCGGATTGGGAAGTACGGCTGTAAGTCAGGTTCCAGTGACGTCTTCCTTGCAGGCCAGCCTTTCTGTATCTGCACACGGAGCTTTGTGAACACTGGACAGGCTTTGCACTCTGACTGGAAATCATCCTCAGACACAGCACTCAGATCACTGAGGATGGCTGCAACTGACTCCACATCCTCTGCACATGCCATGTCTGTCTCGGAAAGTGGGAGCCTAGAAAGACAATCAGCAACATGGTTCAATGACCCAGTTCTATATTCCACTTCATAGTCAAACTCCAACAGGCGAGCTGACCATCTGGCTATGCGTAGACCAGCTCTGTTATTGCCCTTAGTAGTCAGCAGTGTTGTAAGTGCTTGGTGATCTGTTCGTAGGAGGAATTTTCTGCCCCAGAGCCATGTGCGCCATTTTTCAGCAGCCAAGACGCAAGCTAGAGCTTCCTTCTCAACGATTGAGTATTTCCTCTCTGCATCAGACAAGCTGCGAGATGCAAATGCAACAGTATGTTCTGCATCATTACTGTCAAGTTGAGTCAAAACAGCACCTACACCGTAGTCTGAGGCATCTGTTGAGACTATGGTTGGCTTACTGGGGTCGAACATCACCAGGGCAGGGCTGTGCACGATTAACCGCTTGACTTGATCAAACACTGCTTGAGCTGCTTCGTTCCAGTGGAATGAACAGTCCTTACGCAGAAGAGCTCTCATAGGTTCAACAACAGTCGCGTAATTTGGCACAAACTTGCTGTACCATGCACTCAAGCCAAGAATTGAGCGCAGGGTTGCAGGATCAGTAGGGGGCGGAGCATGCAGGATGGCAGTGACATGAGAGTCATCTGGCAGCAGACCTTCTGGACCAATCTTTTGACCCAAAAAGCTCAGAGTAGTTTGACGGAGTTGACATTTGTCAACATTGAGTTTCAGTCCTGCATTGTTGATTCTGTGTAACACAGCACGCAAGTTGGCCTCATGTTCAGCTTCTGACATTCCGTATATGATGACATCATCAAGGTAGCATTGCACCCCTTTCTGGCCGCGTAGGATTTGTGTCATCATCTTTTGGAAGGCTGCAGGTGCTGAACTCAACCCATAGGGAACTCTGCAGTACTGGTACAGTCCTTCATGTGTAATGAAAGCAGTGAGCCCTCTACTCTCTTCATGTAGTTTCAGCTGATGGTAGGCGGATTTAAGATCCAGGGTGGAGAACATGACAGCCCCACGCAGCTCAGACAGTATGTCCTCTATCAGTGGCAAGGGATGACTGTCAGCGACCACCGCTTTGTTAGGTTCTCTCAAATCAACGCACATGCGTATGCCACCAGTCTTCCTTCTAGTGACTACAATCGGGGAGACCCATTCAGATGCATCGATTTTCTCTATGATGCCATGTTCCTCAAGGTTCTTGAGTTCTGCGGAAACTAGGGCTGTTCAATTAATCGAATTTTAATCACGATTACGATCTGGGCTTTCAACGATCATTAAAAATGACTGAGCCGATTATTAGCCCCTCCCTCATTTATCCGCGACACCTTAAAGGCCGGTCCGTGAAAATATTGTCGGGCATAAACCGGTCCGTGCGCAAAAAAGGTTGGAGACCGCTGATTAAGAGGACCCGAGGGAAGCTCGGAAAGCTAAGCAGAAGTTATTTGGAGAGGAGAGTGACTGCTGTTGGTTGAAAAGAGAGTTTAAAAAAAAAAACTTCAGTGGTGTTGCACACTATTTTATATTATTTTTTTAAAGTCATTGTTAACCCTTTAAAGCCGGTCAGAGCTGCATGCTCCGTTTTGCGTAACTATTGTTAAATCCCTGTAGAACCTGAACCGTGTAAGCTAGCGCAATAATTTGTTTTGCATATGAAACCGGAGGAGTTGTACTTACATCTGATGCCATCAGCTTGTCCTCGGTCACGGTTTCGTTCCACATATAGCTTTGCAAAAATTGCATAAAAAGCGCTTGCAGGAACAAAAACATAATATTCCAGAAACACGTTTTGCCGTTCCTATCAGCTGTTCGTAACACTTCCCACAGTGAAATGATGCACATGCTGTTTTCTTTGCAAATTTGCATCATAGGATTGTTTTTTGTTTTTCCTGCAGTATATAAAAATTGCTGTATCTCCAAAATAAAACTATGAAGACACTCAAAATAAATTTCCTGTTGTTGTAAACTATTTTTTGCAACTTTATTGTATTTAAAGTTTTGAGGGATAAACCTCTTAAATTTCTCCAAGTAGAAATATATGTAAACAAAACAAAAGTGATTTTCAATTTTTTTTGTAGTTTATTGCACTTTTTTGCAATTTATGTAATTACTATGGACTTAATGCATACATATTATTAAAATATGGGCTATAACAGTTGTATTGATGTATAGCAACTTGAAATGCTCCCACAAATGGCACTACAGCATGTAAAAAAATAATATAAGCTCTGGTGGACTTGGTTCTATAGTAGGTCTTAAAGGGTTAAATAAATATCGTCAAATAATCGTGATCTCAATTTCAGTGAAAATAATCGTGATTATCATTTTTGCCATAATCGAGCAGCCCTAGCGGAAACAGCATCACGGACTGACAGGGGTAAGCGTCGAAGTTTCTGCTGTATTGGCTTCACTTCAGGTTGCACCTTCACTTTATGTACAAAATCCTTTGCACATCCGAATGCAACTGGAGACTCACATTCCTGTTTACATTGAGTGGGCAGAGCAGAGGTTTGCTGAAGTGTAGCACAGACCTTGGGACTGTCAAGAACTAATTGTCCCCCTTTTATGTGTAGCTGGAGGGCAGTCACCAAGTCCATTCCCAGTATGGGTGTTCCTGTTCTCACAATGTAGAGATCAGTGGAGGCACTCTTGCCATTGTAAGTAATGTCAGCTCTAAGACACCCTAATACATCCAGTTTCTCTTTTGAATATGTAATAAGCTGAACAGCTGGATTACTTAACTGAGCCAAAATTTGTGCTGTAAACATGTTCAGACAGTATGGAAACACCAGACCCTGTGTCTACTAGTAGCTTAACAGTACATGCCTGCGCAGTATTTGGTACAGTGACAGCAACAGTGCACATCAATTTAGCCGGATCACCACTGACACAATTGTCAACAGTTAAAACACACATTTCAGGAACAGTCACTTCATTAACAAGCTTATGAGAAGATTTACACACTCTCGAAAAATGTCCGATTTTCCCACACGTATTACATTTGCAGTCTTTTGCGGGGCAGGATTTATCATTGGTTTTGTGATCAGCTGAACCACAACGGTAGCACGTCGGAGCTGTATCCGTCTTTTTAGCTGCTTTGTATTTTGGCTTGCGCATCTTCTTTTGTACTTGAACAGCGGCAACAGGCTTCGTTTCACCAACAGCAATGGCCTTTGTATCAGCTATTGCAGCCTCTGTACACCTAGCAATTTCCAAAGCTCGATCGAGCGTCAAATCCTCCTCCGTTAGCAGTCTTTCACGTATACGAGCATTATTTGTCTTCTCTACAAGTTGATCCCGCAACATTTCATTCTCCATAGCCCCGAACTTACATTGTTTCACGAGCTCACGCAGTGCTGCAACGTAGTGATCTGTAGACTCACTGACAGCTTGGGCTCGTTGCCTGAAACGGTATCTCTCGGCGACAACATTGACTTTAGGATGAAAGTACGTTTCCAAAGCCTTTACGGATCCCTCGTAATCATCCGTAGCGAGTGATAAGGCGCTGTAGATTCGTTGTCCCTCCATTCCCAAGCAGTGAATGAGCAGGGCCCTCTTCCTCTCTGTAGCAAAGTCATTAGCAAGTAGTTATCGAACAACTTTTTCCACGCAGCAAATGGAATTTTCGGTTCGCCCGGGCAATCCAGGAACACAGCCGGGGGTTGCAAAGAGAGCAGAGCCATAACTTAATCACCACTACTCTCGTCGCCACTTGTTGTGTGGTGTTAGTTCGCAGGCATTACACACACATGCAGGTAGGAACAGAGGATTACCGGAGATGACTCCTTTCTTTATTTTTCTTTTTTCTTCTTCAAAACCACAACCAGAACAACATACTCACTAGCGCCCTCTAGCGCTTCTGGTAAATGCATCTACAGAACAAATGTAATAGTATGTGTGGACACAACAGGTCCCAACTCTCTTATTGGGCCAAGTGCAGCATCTTTGGCTAATGCTGTCAAATCGCTCCCTGAATATCCTGCAGTCACTTTTGCAAGACAGGACAGTTCGTTTTGGCTCAGTGGACTCCCGTGCGTTCCCAAAAGATTTTTCAGCAGCGTAAATCTTGTCTAAAGGTCACATATACTCTTTTTGCAAAGTGCCTTAATATTGCTTCATCGAGCTCCTGGGGCCTGTTAGTTGCTCCCATTACAAGTACCCTGTCATCCCTTCCTGACTGCAACCCGTCAAATTCAATGAGGAACTCAGTTTTTAAACGGCGAGAGGCGTCGTGCTCCCCCTCCCTCCTTTCACAGAGCAAGCCGTCCACTTCATCAATGAAGATTACTGAGGGCTGTAACTCTCTCGCAACTGCAAAGAGTGCTCGTACGAGCTTCTCGCCTTCTCCCACATATTTGGAGGTCAAACTAGCAGCACTGATGTTGAAGAATGTTGCATTAGACTCTGCAGCAACTGCTTTGGCGAGCATGGTCTTCCCATTTCCTGGTGGGCCAAATAAAAGCAAGCCACGTGCAGGAGCTCTCAGACCAGTAAAGAGATCAGGTCTTAAGGCAGGAAGGATGACAATTTCTTGAAGTGCTTGCTTTGCCAGATCCTGCCCTGCGATGTCATCAAATGACACAGTCGCTCCACTGTATACAATTTCATTCATAATTAAGCTGGCCAGTTTACTGTCCACATTCTTTTTCATATCCCTCTTCGGGGGCTGTTTCACAGCTGCCGGTCTTCCATTCTGAGTTTTTCCCACCCGAGCGGTTTTCTTTGCATCAGTTATTCCTAATGGAGGTCTTACAGAAGTGGAGGGTCTGATGGTGGTGGAAACACCTGCGGGTTGACTTTTAGGAACTGACTTTGGCTGTGAAGGAGCATGATGTGATGTCCCTTGGGGGTCATTTCTCCTTTTAGAGGCTAGTGTCGTCTCTAAAAGGGTAAGCTTGTCTTTTGCCATGGTGAGTTTGGTGACCATTTTATCCTGAAGTCTCTCTGCTCGGTCATACTGCTCTCCAGCTTGCCCAGTGAGCTCTATTGCAATACCCCTTTCAAGCTCAGAAATCCCTTTCTTGTACCACTGCACAGCCTCCTTCTTCTCACCTGTGTCGTCCTCGTCGATCTTCAGTGCCTTGAATATATACTCAAGCGCCTGCTTGTGGATGTTTTTTATAACTTCAGCGCTGTCTTTGGGCTTACTTGCGTTTGTTTTGGTCGACATTTCTCTTGCGCGACTTCCCCCCTGTTCTCAGTCATAACACAGTAAACTAGTCATAAACGAAAACGTTTAGGCTATATATCGCATTTAAAGGTCTTTCTTTGGGACAACATCACAGAACACAGAAACATCACAGGGCTTTGGAGCGTGATGTTACAGGAGGCGGGCCACGGCCCCCGCCGCCATCACAGTAGGCCAGACAAAGGATACAGCTTCAGCTATGGTACGTGTTGTGTAGTCGGTTGCAACGTTAGAGCTCACGATCGTGAAGGCAAGAAACTGGATTAATCTTTTAATCGTTTTCCATCCTGGCGGCAACGTGAGGGATCCATGTATCCATATCACCAACAAAGACGCCAGGCATGGATTGCAGACGAGCGGATATCGAGTTCCGTGCAATCCCCAGCTTTTTGTTGGTTTGCTCGCGGCATTTTCTCCAGTGAGTTCTAAATTAATTCATATCACTATCCGATTGTTCAGTCTGATGTCACTAGCCGTGTCTGGGCCTAAACTCTGCTGCAGGTCCATATATCAAATGATCACTGTGGCATTACTGAGAGTTAAAACACTGTCTTAAGTCTTTCATCTTTAATAAAATTATCAGCGTTCTGCTCTACCAGGTGTAACAACTGAGTTTAACATCCAGGCATCCATGAAAATGGAATTTATGACATTTAACGGAGTTAGAAGTTAGCAGCAAGTTAGCTCGCTAGCTTCTATCTAAATACAATATAGCATGTCCTGACTGCGGGGTTTTGGAAACAAATTAAAACGTACAGCTTTCTTATCACTTCCAACATAAATGAAGACAGAAAACTAAACAGCAGTGATGTTTGTAGGGTTACTGAAGTTGGGCTAGCTGGTATATAATGATGTGCTACGTGACCGCTAGCGACACAACTATGTTAGCATAATATAAACACGCTAACTTTTTTTCCACTCGATAAAAGTTAACGTGAGTGTTCTCGGTGGTCAGGAACAAATGGAATCGCATGGCAGGATGCTGTAAAGGGACCAAACTAAAAGGCTTTTAGTGGGTTTTTTCATAGATAACGAGATAAAACATGCTAATGTGTGATGCTGCAGAACCACGTCATGTCGACTGAGTAGCTTTTGATTTGGCATTATTGCAGGCAACCCAGCATATGAAATGGATGTAACAAATCCAGACTGGGCACCAACACTGCACATGGGGCACGACGACAAACCTGTGTCAGACTCGGACCGGCACGCAAGGCGTATGCAACGGAAGCGAAAAAGAGCACCCATTGCAGGTAAACACCCCCCCTCTGAAAACATACTAAATTGCTCTTATGGTACACTAATCTACGGAGCCCCGCAGGGAACATGGGAGAAAAAAAAATTAAGACGGACTTTTGCGAGATCTCGCAAAACAAACTCGGGATCTCGCAAAACTTTTAGCCTCATTCTTCGGACGCCGGCTCGAAGCCAACCGGGAGGTCGAGGCACGATGTGCCGGGAAAGCGGTGTTCCACCCGGCTGTAGTAGGTCTCGACCTCCCGTTAGCTTCGAGCTAACGGGAAGAATGCGGCTAAAACTTACAAAAGACCATCTATACACAGTTGTTATCACCAGCTTTGATTCCTATCCCCAGGGCTAGTTTAATCGCCAGGGTTCAGTTCACCAACACTATTAACAGACCAGATCTCCACATTGAAGCACGAGCAGGCTTCAGTTCAGCTGACTGAGCCAACAGGCCCTTTCAGAAGCGACTGGAGTAGAAGGCTATAACAACCCACAACAGAAAACAAAATGTCAAGTTCAAACTTACATGAAATACACTGCACTAAAATTAGGTGTTAAAACATTTATACACAGTGTTAACTGTATATGCTTTGGAGTAACCAACATTTACCTTTACATAATATTCATAACCCAGAAATAAAGTAAACAGAGCAGAGCACAGAGGTTCGTTTTGCGTCCCTGTACCGTATGTCTGTCTTCACTGATCCACAAAGTGCCCTTTAGTTGTTTTCCTTGACTATATGGTTTAAAAACATCAAAATAGACTAAACAACTAGTCTAAAACTAAGAGACACAGGATAAAGTTGGTGTGAAGGTTTCAGTCTGTGAATGAATCTAAGCACCATCACCTTAACTTTAAATTCATCTCTGTTACCTTCTTTGTGACTGAACTCTGACCGTGAGCACCACAGCCACTGCGCACCAATCACACGCACTTTAAATCCATCACAGTAAACCAGTTAGTTTACCTCAGTTTGTTTTGCAGCACATTTCACAACATGCAAAAGCATAATGTGCCATGTACAGACTCAAAATCTGATTTAAAAACATGAGGACTGACCTGTAAGCTTTACATTTACAGTTTATCACATACCACTGAGCACTTCTTACCTGTAATTCTAAGCCCTCTTCTTCCTTTTCTGGTTTAAAACATCAAATTAGACTAAACAACTAGTCTAAAACCAAGAGACACTTAAATATTAAGTTAAACCTCTGGGGTCGCCGGACGCGCCGGCGCGTCAAAATCACATGACCAATTTAAGACGACACAGCTACAAGATGCAGCGATTCAGAGGCTGTATCCCAATTCAGGGCCTGCAGCCTTAAAGGCCATTTTAAGGCCGATTACGTCACAGCGACACGACGAAGGCCTAAAAATAAATGTTTGTTTCAGTTCTATGAAGCTTTGAGTATTTTGGATTAGTAGCACTGCTGTGTTTGTTGCATCATATTGCTGTAATTGTTTATATGCTTTATATATTCTGAGGTAAGTTGATCTATAGTGTTACATCATATTCTATAAGGATGTTATGTGTTTGTGTACTTTCTGCCCAGTTTGACCCATTTAGCAGAAGTCAGCTTGGTTCCACTTGCCTCTTACCCGTGATTTCAGTGGAAATTTCAAATTCAGGATCTGACACACACTGATTCATGTCCTACACAGTTCTTGCAAGTTCATAGAAATTTCTGTTCAATTAGAACCAAATATTTGAGTTGATGGTTGAAATTGTTGTTTTGTTGTTGTTTTAATATCGGTCTAGCTGCACGCAGCACGCAATTGAACCACATATTTTAGAAGCCAAAGGTTCAAAATAGTTGGGAGCACCTTCACTTAATTATAACAGTGGCTCTGTTAGGAAAACAGTTCTGTATACCGATACTAAATTGCGTTAAAAAGGGCGACTTGTGGTATTCTCACACTAGACACTAGATAGCTGCTACTACAGTCACACACATATACTGTTGCCTCAGTAGTCAGAGTGGCACAAAGAAAAAGTTTGTGAAATCTTTAGAGTTGGCAAAACTTCTGTTTTACTTATTTAAAATAATAGTGCAATATATACATGCAGTAATTACTCTGCAGTAATTACATCGTTTAAGAAGATGAGCATGTGTTGAATGCGTGCTCATCCATATAAATAAAGGCATACAAAGTCAGCTTACAAAAAAGTTGTGCTCAAGAAATATTGATGGGTATGAATAATGCCCAACAACAACCTTTTTACAGATGGAAGAAATTCAGGACGACTGCTCTCCTGAATAGTAGATGTCCTACAAAGACCATCGCTATGAAACCTACAAAACGTGGTACAATCTTTGCTCATATGTTCATTATAAGAAAAACCCTGAATAAGAAGGGGAAACTGCTGCTCTCTACATAAATATCCATATGCAGTGTAGAACGCTAGGTCTGAAGAAGAAACATTGAAACTTAATTTCAGCAGTCACCGCATGATGTCAGGAACATCATGGAGGGGCAAGGCCATCATTTCACCAATCAAAGGTAAGCAGAGGTTCGGTGATACACTGACACAAAACAGACACAAATAACTAAAAAAAAAAAATTCTTATTTTCCAAATTCGGGTTTTGAAATGACCAAATGCAACATTAATGTATTTAAAAAATAAAATGTTATGACACAAAAACATTTGTCAGATGGGTGACTAACATTTACAGCCACAGTGTGTCCATTTACTGAGGGTGTTCCCTAAGAGGACCATCGTCATCAGAGGCATGGTTCCCTATGGAGCACACAAGTGTGTGATTTTAAGACTACTTGCCGAAATCTCTAGTGCAGTACTAAAGTGCTAACATGAATGTTTAACGCTCATTGATGTGTGTTTCAGATTAAGGATCAAGTTTTTGGTGAGCAGATCTCGAGATGTCGCTTTCCACATCCATCCGAGATTCAGGGAAGGAATTGTTGTAAGAAACAGTATGATTGGAGGAAACTGGGGCCAGGAGGAGAGAGAAATGAGCATGAATCCATTTATGGAGGGCCAGTACTTTGATGTAAGTAACATCAGTCACGCAGTCGTAATATCAAGTCCTTATGATGAATTTTAGAAGCAAATTTTAATGTGATTTTGGCAAATTCTAGATAACTTTGTGTGTCAGCATTCAAAAGTTTTCTCTCTGTCCCTCAGATGTCAATTCGTTGTGGGAACCAGAGGTTTAAGGTGTTTGTGAACGGGCAGCACCTGTTTGACTTTTTCCCATCGCTGGCAGTCCTTCAATGAGATTGACATGCTGGAGATAGAAGGCGATGTGCAGATCTCCTACATCCACTTCTGATACCACCCATTAAAGAAATAAATAATTTTGTGCATCTTTCAAAAAATGTTATTTTTTTAAATAACATATTTCAAAAAAAATATCTCATCCACAGAGTTGCTTATCTCAGTTTCTTACCTGCTTTGAGATCAGATATCTCAATAAGATCAAATGTCACCTCAGTATCTGCTGTATTGTTTATACCAGTTAACTGAATTAATAAATCATGAATCATTTATGAATTAACTGATTTATTTCTTATGCAAAATAGTGTATATACTGTATAAAAATTTGTTTACAATTCATTACAGTGTCAATATAAGGCAGTTATAGTACAATTTTCTCCCAATTCAAAAAAACACAACAGGAAAAATCGCAGTCGACACACACATGCACTGTAATGCAAAATACTGGCTCTGTGAAGGCACTTGGTAAAATCATGAAATTTAAGGCTTTGAATGTAAGATGGAGTTTCAGTTTTTGCTGGAATACAGTTGGAAGCTCATTTTTGGACCAAAATACTCCAAAGACACAGATATAAAACAGGAGACATATGTGCATTCAAAGTGGTATAGCATCTGAACATGGAAATTTAAACCAGTACCTCAGCCTCAGCACCACTGTTTGTGGTTCAGAAACAATGTGGTACTCCCACTGAGTCTACAGTACCAAAGCTATTACAAGAAATGTACACTTTTAACAAGAAATTTCCATAATGCTACTAGTATAACATACTATTTTATATACAAGTACCTTTGATGTATACAACTAAGAAACACAGCGCCTCACTGACATTTTTTCTCATCCTGAAATGTGTGCCAGATTATTGTCAAGGCCATTCCAATGACAAAATTATAAACTAATGCAAATACATAAAAAATAAGTGCATACTGCTGTGTCTTTCTCTTGGATTCTGCTATGTACAGCGCCAAACAAGTGGCAGGATGATGTCACATGACGAGGTTAGTGATGTTTTCCAGTCTCCCAGACTCTTCCCATCAACAGAAAATACTGCAAATGTGTCATGTTCTCTCAGGTTTGTTTTCTGCTACTAAGAATAGGAAATAACTGAAATACAACAAAAAACCCCAAACAAAAAGGATACACACATTATAAACACACACAGATACAAAAACATTAGTGCAAGTTGTAGAAATACAAAAATCAGCATTTTAAAAAAAAGTGTAATAACACTGTGCTTGACATAAAAAAGTAAAGGTAAAGAGTTTATCCCATCAATTGTCATGGATAATGGATTCGTTTCCTACATCCATCCACCTGTACCTTGAATCATCTCTGTCCTCCTGATTTGACTAGTACGTCTGTCCCTCTAGAAAATCCTCAGATTCCTGAGTTATAGCAAAGATATATACATACGTGAATCAGGACATGCACATGTAACAACTGTCAGTGAGGAAAGACTTGCTTTGTTCACACTATGAATCGCTCAGTGTACTTGATGCACAACCAACAGTAAAAACCCTGGGGAAGATACAAGACTTTGTTACAGCGGCACACCGGGCTCCGATGCAAATCCTGTATTATTACTATGTTTTTTAATGAAGTACCTTTACTTTTATTTGCAATTTATTTTTTATTTTTTTTAAAGATGTATATTTGGAATAAATCCTTAGATGGAGTGCAGCCAACACTGTGCAACTGTTGGTTGCACTCCATGGTGGAGGTTGAGCATCATGCACAACCTCCTCCATGAAGTTCATATTTTGACACTTTTGACAATTTGTAAGATAATGAAAAATAGGGTCCAGTTAAGGCAATCAAGCAAGGCATTCTGAACCTCTTCATAAACTTTCTTGCTGTAGGTATTAACATAACCTTAAAAACAACAAGTTTTCTGATCAGATAATTCACCTTGTGTAAAACAGGCTCTGCTGGTTCTTTGTTCCAAGAATGAGTGGACTTTCTGCTTCAAAAAATGTTTCCTTGGGTGTGACAGGTCCTCCATACAAGTGCTGACTCACTGTAAAGTTCAAGCTTTTGGGTTTAGTCTGGCAGTGTCTGAGCTGGTTTTACCAAGAGGTTTATTTATTTTGTTTTTTTTAGCTTAATTACTCTTTTGCATTCAGGTAGTTAAACAGAAATGGTGTGTTACGGCTAAAGCAAAAGGGAATTCATTTCACTGATTCTGCTGCAGTGTGTGTGGCATTGTAACATGTAATGTACACCTCTTCACCCTCTTATTGGTAAGGGTGTACCCAGCTGCTACAGCAAATGTAATTTTACACTCACTTGGCTCTGGATAGTGTAATAAAACTTCATAAGACAAGGTTGGCTTATAAGGCGTTTTTTCAACCCGTCATCTTATAAGAAAGGGGTTGAAAATAAAATATCAGTCCTTCACGTCCTTGGAATGAATTTGGCTGCTTGTTTATGAGTACGTCTGTGCAAACTATATATAGAGAGCCACATAAGGTTTCTTCTTGCTGTTAGAAGGAATCAGCGACGGGCTGGATTATGTTCTTTGTACTTGAACTGGGATAGCACACTTTGGCAGTGACCAGTCTTGTCATTTTTAGGCAGTGAGTCTGTCACTGCCAGGGCATTTTCTTGGATCCATTCCTGTCCTCGAGCAGCTCAACAGTTGGAGTGCGATTGGGAGTGGAGTGGCATGATGACTGTAGAGGCAATGTGGCTGTGGAGGATGATACTGGCATGTCCAGGCTCTCCATGGAGTCAGAAAGGGTTCGGTTGGTTTCGTGCTGTGGACAGAGGACATAACGGTTGGGGTGGTGGACCTCCACTGTGGTCACAGACTCCAGGCCTTTCAAGCAGAGAGGGGATGAGCGTCCAGTGGGGTCACGACCACCAACGGCTCCGAGCTCCATGGAGGACTCGTCCATGTTCACGTATAGAATCTCATCTGGATCTTGTGGGTCTGGCAGATCCTCAAGGGCTTTTTCGAGCTCACAGCGCAGTGACTCGAATGATGGACGATCTTTTGGGCTCAGCAGCCAGCAGGAGAACATCAGGGAATAGCTGGAGGAGACAAAAGAATGTTAGTGGAGAATGTACTGTTAGCATGATAACAGTGAACAGTGACATTTAATATCCCATGGTGACCAAATGTTTTTATAGAAATAAGCAGTTCTGCATTTCTATGTAATTTATTTTCCTGGACAATACTTTTAAATATCGGATAATTTCTAATAATAAGCTCTATATTTCCCACTTGATCTTAAAAGGTCCGTTTGGCTCATGTTAAATTTTGGTTTATATTTTAATACATTCCGTGTTTAAAATCCTCTTTTTTCCTCACTTCAGTTTTCTGTGCAATTATGTATAATGTCAGTGTGACTGCTGTAAAAGCAGAAAGACTGGAGAAGTCTTTAAGCGTGTAGCCTTGGTTGAGTTATGGAAACAAGGTACTTCTATTGGAGATTATGTATCGGAATTTCTGGAGCGGGACCACGCCTCCAAACACGCTCCTTCCGGTTGTCATCTATATAGGTTCCCCCAGTTCTGCAAGCTGTTCATTCTCGTTCACGTGCCCCACCCTCCCTCCCTCCTTGTTCTCAATTCTTTAACTTCTTCATTTCTATGTAGTGCATGGGGATCTGCCAGGCCCCTTCGAGGCCTTCCCCAAACCACAGCTCAATTCATGTCAAAACATTCACTTTTACCTACTAAAACGCTGTCAAACCTAAAATGAGGACGTGGGCCCAGCTAGTGAAATGAAAAGGGAAAAGATTTCATTATCAGCAAAGTGTTTTTTATCAAGGATACTCACATGCTGTCCAGACAGTCTGGAGGCTGCTTGAGACGGTTTCCTTGTCTCAAATAATCATAAATCTCACTATTTTCGACCCCAGGGTATGGCGTCTGACCCCGAGTGGCGATTTCCCACATGGTGACTCCAAATGACCACTAAGAGGGAGCAAGAGAAAGATGGAGAGGCGTACAGGGAAATAAAGAGAGAGAGGGCGAGGAAGGGTTTAGCATGAATTCCTGTAGACTTTACACACCTTGTCACACATTAGTGAAACATGAGTCTACACTGGTCAAACACTGGCTATGGAAAAATATCACAGTCATGTTTGTCTTGGATTTTTGGACATCCTGCTTTATGAACAAGCACTAAAGAATGCAGATCATTTTAAGTGCTGCACTGTATAAACACAACTGCACATGTGCATGGACACTTAGGCCCTTAAAAATACTGTATATGTCATTAGCTTACCAGCTGCTAAAAGTTGATATCACTCACAGATGTTGGTCAGGACATATTTATGCATATTTATACTGACATTTACAGATATTTTGGTAAATAATTTTGTCTTCATGACCAGCTGGTATGCTTAAGCAATGTATAAAGTACTTGTTTCTGAGTACTTCAGGTCTTCTAAAAAAATTTGACTATACAGCTTTAATTCCCAAAACACATTGTTAACTGTTTGAGAAGGGGTATTTTTGTTCCCAAGCCTCTCTAATACTGAAAGCCTTTGCTCTGTATTGTAGGGCACACAGTAACAAACACACAGAAGATGAACTTACCACATCACTCTTTGTGGTGTAGACGCGGTCAGCTAAGCTTTCAATGGCGATCCATTTTACAGGCATCTTGGAGATCCTGCCCTGTCTGTAGTAGTCTCCATTGTAGATCTTCTTGGAGAGGCCAAAGTCAGCCACACATACATTCATATTCTCATTCAGCCTGCGAAAGGGCATTTAGACACGAGCTAGAGTTATTACACTTGTGTTGGTCCTATATATATTGAACAGTATCTACATATCGACAGTCTTATTTAGGTTTAACATCCAAAACATTTGTTTTGTACCACTCATAAACTGGCAAGGCAAGTTTATTTATATAGCACAATTCAACAACAAGGTGATTCAAAGTGCTTTACCGAGACATTAAAAAACAAAAACAATAAAATGCATTATTTAAAATTGATTAAAAAAAACAGTAGATAAAATCAGAACAGTAGGTAAAATCAGTAGTTAG